CATGCTGAAAAAAACTGGGAACAAAGCCACGCAGGAGAGGCTGGAGCAGCAGATCTCCAGCGCTCGCAAAGCGTTGGCTGCCATCTACGGCAAGAAGCACTAAGCTACCTGTACAGCAGGAGGCAACTGTGCTCTGGTTTGGGGATGGTTTTCTTTTTCTTTTTTTTAAACTAAACTGTGAGCAACAGTAATAAAAGAGTGCCTGGGTCCTTCCTTGTGTGCTCTGTGATGGGTGGGACAGGGCTGGCGACAGTGGCATCTCCCAGCGTCACACTCTTGTGTTGTTTTCCCCCCGGGCTTAGATCATCAGTATCCTATGAAACTGATTGCTAAGGCATGCCTACGAGTTCTCCTGAGCTTAGAAATGGGAGTTGTGTGGATTTGGGGTAGGTTTTTTGTTTGTTTGTTTGTTTGTTTTTTCCCCAAGAGAGCTGCCAAAGCTCAATGTTGATGCTAAACGGTGGGGATTCTGCTGCATGGAACGGGGCAGTGCTGTAACGATGCAGCACTCCCCCTGCCCTGGGTCTCGGGGTGATCTCACGGTGGTGCGCAGCGGGCCCTGCCCCGAAGGAAGATGGCGGTGCACCGTCGCCTCCTCCGCGCGTCGTTTCCGTGCCCACTGTGGGGCGTGTAAGTCTGCGCAGGCGCAGCAGCCGGGGCGTGTCGGGCGTGGTGACGCAAGAAACGCAGCGCGCGGGCGGGCCACGCAGGGCGCGTGCGCGGGGCCGGGTGCGCCGGCGGGTGCGGCGGGGCCGGTGCTGCGGGGCTGCACGCGCCATGTCGGGGCGCTCGGTGCGGGCCGAGACCCGCAGCCGCGCCAAGGATGACATCAAGAAGGTGATGGCAGCCATCGAGCGCGTCCGCAGATGGTGAGGGCGGGCCCGCGGGGGGGTGGGCCCCGCCGCCTGCGCGCAGCCAATCACCGTACCGCGGGATGCGACTCGGGAGTGCGCGCCCAACCAGCGGGTGCGGGCGGGGGGGCGGCGACCAATGGGAGCGGGGCGGGGGTGGGAAGCGCCTGTGATGGGCGGTTGGTCCAGCCAATCACAGTGCGGGGGGCGGGAGTGCTGCGCGGTGCTGAGCTGACGCTCCCCTGCGCCAACCGGAGCGTGGCGGGATGGCGGGGTTTGTTGCCATGGTGCCCCAGGCCCGGTCCGGCCCGTCACCGCTGTGTCCCGCAGGGAGAAGAAGTGGGTTACGGTGGGCGACACGTCCCTGCGGATATTCAAGTGGGTGCCAGTGGCGGACAGTAAGGAGGTGGGTACCGCGCGTGGAGATGAGCCGGGAGCCACCGCCCACAGCCAGCCTAGCTCCCTTAACAACCCCCGTTAAGTTGAGCTCCGAGCCTCTCCCAGCCCTACCGACCACCGAAGCCCCCGGAGCCACCTCCGAGCCCTCCAGTTCCGCCGAACGCCACCAAACCCCTGAGCCCTCGCCAAGCCAGCACTCGGGCCCCCGCTGAGCCCTCCCAGCCCGGCTGAGCACCCCCCTGATCCTTCCCCAAGCTGAGCCCCGAACCCCACCAAGTCCCTTCTGAAGCCCCATGAGCCCCTGTCAAGCCTTCTTGGGCACCCCCCAGCCCCAAAGAGCCCCTTCAGCCAACCTGAGCCTCCCCTGAATTAACGAGACCCCTAAGCTCCCTTGAGCCCCCTCGTGCTTCCCTTAAGACTCTCTGCTTGACTCCTCCAAGGATTTGCTTTACTCCGTGGCATTCCTAGATGGGCGTCAGCTCCTTCTCTCCTGGTTCCCAGTCTCTTCATAGACGGAGTTTTGCCTCTCACTTAGGAATGTGCCTCCAAAGCCAAGGGAAAAGGCCAGCTTGAGCACATCTCTCTGGGCTTCTGGAGACAGAAAAGGGAATGGTTCTTCTGAAGCAGCATGTGTTTCTCTGTCATTGTGTTTGTAATTTTCTTTCTCTCCTCTAGAAAGAGAAATCCAAATCTAGTAGCAGCACGACCCGAGAACCCAATGGCTTCCCAGCTGACACCTCTGCCAACTCCTCCCTCCTTCTGGAGTTCCAAGGTGGGTCTGGGCTGAGCTCCCTTCAACATGGGGAAAGACTCCAAGGCTGTACAGTAGTTGTGACATTGCTGGTTTTGTGTGCTGCTGGTACGGGGAAGAGCAGTGCTTACCCCTGAGCACTGGCATGGAATGGAGAGCTGTGAAGTTGAGCTGTGGAGTTGGGCTGATCCCCTTCTGGATTGTCCCTGTCCAAACTGTTCATTTTTGCTGTTAGAGAGTCTTAATGGGCTGTTTCTGGTATCTTCTGTGGGAAGCTTCACAGCTGTCTGGAGGACTGGGGTTTCCTGATCCCCGCTTTCCCTGCTCTGCTGGGGAGAGGCCAAGAGCCACCTGCAGCCCAGCTTGATTTTCCAACAGTTACTTTCATGGACCTTAGGGTGAGGGGGAAAAGGCTGTCCCTGGCCTTGCTCTTGGTTTAGGCACTGTGGTGGAGCCAGGAGAAGCTCCAGCAGTGCCAGACTCACTGCTGAAGTAGTGTGCATATCTGCCCAGCCTGCCTCTTTGTGTGGCTGAGGAAAGTCAGGAGTTTGCTGGCAGTCCCAGGAGATGCAGTGGGGTTATGTTGCAGGTCTGCAGTTTGGCAAGGTGTGTGCCAGGCCTGCTTCCTCACTGGGAGACAGGTGCTGAGCATTAATCCTTGTGTTGCTTCACAGAGGAGGAACAAAACCATGGTACACAGCAGGAGATTCCTGCCCTTGGATGCACAGGGCCATCCCAAGCTGCAGATGTGGGATTTGACAGTGCTCATTCTCAGGGCAGGAATATTCCCTCTCCCATGGCCAGTTGTGTATATGATTCCCACTGTGTTCTGAAGAACTCGGCCCTGTGCCTGACAGCCCTTAGGCTGATGTGGAACAGTGAATCCCCTGTTTAACTCTGACCATGCTCTGCCTTCTCAGCAAGACCCCAGCTTGCAGTGACACCCTGGGGTGCCTGTGCCCCTGCATTAAGGTGCTCTTTTTCACCAGGTGCTGTTTCTGCAGATGAGAATAGCAACCAGAGCTCCCTGTCTGATGTATACCAGCTCAAGGTGGACAGCAGCCCCAACTCCAGCCCCAGTCCTCAGCAGAGTGAGTCCATGAGTCCTGCCCACACGTCTGACTTCCGCACAGACGACTCGCAGCCTCCTACCTTGGGGCAGGAGACCCTGGAAGGTGGGTGCTGGGCTGAAAAGGGAGGAGGCAGATGGGTGGGCTCAGGGAAGGCCCCTCCAGGGCTGTTGGTGGCCCGGTGGGTGGCCTTGGCACTGCTGGAAGTTGACAGGGCATCGGGGACTTATTTAGTTAGGTGTTCTGTCCTGGGTGCTGGGTCTGCATTTTTGTTGACCCACCTGTTCTCTCCAGAGCCCTCCCTGCCTTCCTCAGAAGTGGCAGATGAGCCTCCCACTCTCACAAAGGAAGAGCCAGTCCCCCTTGAGACTCAGGTAAGGGAAGGGGGATTTAAACCATCTCTAAATGTGCATGGACCCAGATTGGCCCTTTGACCATTGTTGCTGCTTCTTGTAGCAGAAGCATCTTGGTAGACGGACTTGCTCTGCAGTCCTGAAGTGCCCCCTGGGAGCTCCCAGAACCTCCTGGTTTTGTGAGCTTTGGTCTTTATCCCTTGGTTCAGATCAAATGTTGAAGTGTGAGAGAACAATATGGGGGTGTGGGAAAACAACAATTCTGGCATGCTCCAGGGCTGGAGTAGGTTCCCATTCCTGGTGCCCTGGGATCTGTGCATAGGTGACAGCCCGGGCTGTCCCCATGGTGTGACACAGCCTTGTCTAGGCATGTGTAACTCAGTGTCACTGCCTGTGACCTCTGACTCTTGCAGGTAACTGAAGAGGAGGAGGACTCCGGTGCGCCACCTCTGAAGAGATTTTGTGCTGACCAGAACTCTGTGTGCCACACAGCCTCGGAGAGCTAACCTGCCTGGCCCGGCACCTTCGCCAGCCCCTTGCAGAGCTGCCTGGCCTCCCCAGGACCAGCCCTTCCCTCCAGCCTGCCCCTTCCCCAGTGTCGGGGCTCCCACCACTCGCATCAAGTGCGCCCTGCCCTACCCTCCCCTCCCCTGCCCTGCCCTGCCCTGCCCGATGGATGGGGCTGCTGCCAGTACCTGCAATTTTGCCTCTATTTATTGGCTCCCTCTCTCTCTGCTCCCTGCCCTAGAGCTGCGGGTCTCTGCTGGGTGGGCTGCATGTGCGGGGGGGTTCTCCATGGGTCTCCCTGCTCTCCATGGTCCCCAGGACACTGGCAGATTCTGTTTGCCTGCCTGCCCTTTCCCTGGTGCTGGGAACAGGAGAGCCACCTTCCACCTGCTCCAGGTGATGTGTTCATTCGGCTGTGGGAGCAGGTGGTGGTGGGTGTGGGGGGCAGTGAGGGGGGGGCCGGCAGGGACCCACTGGGACGCTGTGCAATAAGCTGCTAAGTTTAAGCCATTCATGCTGGGAGAGAGGGGAGCCCTTTCCTGTCCCGGAGGGCAGGTACTGACCGGCCTCGGCTCTGCCTCGGGGCACAACTCCAGCCGAATGGAATTTGGAATCCCCCGGGAGCCGGCAGAGCAGGGGAAGCCACTGCCCTGTGCTGGAGGGCCTTGTCCCGGCCTAGGTAGCCACTGTCCCCGAGGTGGGAGAGGAAGCGGCAGGGTGCTGGAGCTCCCCGGAAGCGCTCCCGCCATGGGTCTCTGGCGCTCCCCAACACCCGCTGCCCCCCAGCCTCACTCTCCTCCCGCTGCCACTGCATGTCCCGCCGAGTCCGTGATCGAGCCTGGTGAAGCTGGAGGCGCGACCGCGCGTGGAAGTGGAAAGTTATTTTAGCACTGAATAGAATATTTTTAAAATTAAATTGTTTGAAATACAGATGCAGAGCACGATGTCGGCCGGGTGGGGAGGGGCCGTGCGGGAAGGGAAGGGGAAGGGGAAGGGAAGTTTCCGCTAAACGGGGCCATGTGCCGGCACTCGCCGCCTACGGCGCCCACGGAACCGGCCCGGAGCCCGGTTCCCCGGGAAGTTCGGTCAGCGCCCGGTCCCCGTTCTCCACACTCTCCTCCCTGGCGGTCGCCGGCGCTGTCTAGAGCGGGCGGGGGACGACCCCGAGCCCGAGACGAGGCGGCATCGCCCGGCGGGGCCGGCTCGGGGCGGGTGGGAGGGAAGAGGAGCCCGGGACGGCCCCTCCGCCCTAGGCAGCGGCTCCGATGGGGCCCCGGCCCAGGGCTCTGCCCGCTCCGCAGCCGCCCCCGCTCACCCAAGGGACTGCCCGCGGGGCGGGGCTCTTCGCCCTCAGGGTCCGCGGGGCGCGGGAAAAATCGGCCGCGGCTAAGGGAGGCGGGGGTGTGCTTTGGACGTGACTTCAGGGCAGTGCCAGAGCGCCCAAGCAATTCCCATCATTAACCCGCGGCCTCCGCACCAAGCCCGCTCCGACCTGACTGCCCTTGCAATAAATTATTTTAATTTTCACTTTCATTTTCCAATTATTCCTTTTCCCAAGTTTTCTTGGTCCCGATACCGTGTGTATGCCCTTCTTTGCATGTCCAGTGAAGGGTAGCGGAGCTGGGGAATGGTCTGGAGCATGTTTGATACGGAGCAGCTGAGGAAGCTGCGGGGACTCAGCCTGGATAAAAGGAGGCTCAAGGGAGACCTGCTTGCTCTGCACAACTCCCTGACAGGAGGCTGCAAGCAAGGTGAGGGTTGGGCTCTACTCCCACAGAACAAGGAGTGGCATGAGGGGAAACAGTCTCGAGTTTTCTCAGGGGAGATTTAGGTTGAACATCGGGGAAAAGTTTCTTCAGTGAAAGGGTTCTCCAGCTCTGGCAAAGGCTGCCCTGGCCAGTGGTGGAATCACCATCTGTGGAGGGATTTAACAGATGTGTAGATGTGGCACATGGGGAGGGACATGGGTTAGTGGTGGCCTTGGCTATGGGACCAGTTGGACTCCATAGTCTCAGAGCTTTCCTAACCCTAACAATTCTGTGATAATAATGGAGTGTTTTTAATAATATATCATTTCAGGATCAGAATGCCCAGACAGGAGAGGCAGCTGCTGATTGATTTGAACACAAACTATCCTGATGTGTTGGTAGTTATTGGGAAAACACTTTTGGGAAAGAGTTCCACAAAGAAGTCTAGCAATCAGAAAACAGAAAAAGTCTTTTCCATAGCAGTGTGTGCATTGCTAAATTCAGGAGGAGGAATATTAAGAATGGAGAATGAGGAAGGAATTACTTTTTCTGGGAGATTGCGCTGGCAGAAGCAAGGCCTCTGAATACTTTGCATGGATGCAGCAGGGGAGTAACCTACTGCTTTTTGTTAAAACATGGAGCTGTGGAAGTCCGGAGCTGGGAGGTGCAGCCACAAAGTTGCACCTCTGCAGCTTAACCGCTGGTTTGTTTTATAGGGCCAGCATATCGGTTTATCCTGTGACTTCCAGAGAAGTTCCTGAATTCCTGAGGAAGAAAAACTGTGCCAAGTGCCACAATGAGAATGGACTGACCCCCAAGACAGCTCAGTTGAGTTTTGATGGGGGAGCAAAAGAGACTCTTCTGAACATCCAAGAGCACAACATCCAAAATGCTGTGGTGAGATTTGTAAAGAAAGATGAAGTGCTGGTTGGGAAGGTCCTGGGTTTCACAGAGGCAACACATATTGAATTTAAGGAATGCAGTACAAAGAGTAGCTTGTAATATATCAGAAAAAAACCTTCCTAAATGCGTCTCTGCCTTTGCAAACACTGAGGGTGGATATTTATTTTTTGGTGTGGATGAAAACGGCAAAGTCACCGGGACCGACAGTAACATAGAGAAAGTAGCCTTAGAACAAACAGTAGCTGATGCCATCGGCTCAATGTGAACCCATCGCTTCTGTGGCTCTGGGGCTGGTGTACAGATCCAAATGCACATCTTGCGTGTTTATGACCAAGCAGGCTGTTCACAGGGCTATGCCTGTGCCATGCACCTTGAGCCGTCCTGCTGCCCTGTGTTCGATGATGACCCTCAATCCTGGATGGTGCTGGGCACTGTCAGGAAGGAGAGTGTGGGGGACTGGGCACTGACCAAAAGACTGAGCATCAGGAAATGGAGGGAGTTCATGACAGCTGCAGACCCAGATAAGTAAAACCTGCATTTATTTAGTGTCGCTTCATTTCCATGTTCTGTTGCAAATGTTCAGGAGGAAAGATCAACTTGTTTTCAGGGTGTTCTCACCAAATCTAGAAAGGGGCATTTGACTCAGGCCCAGCCACAGACACTGGGATGATGGTGCAGTTACTGGCCTGCAGCAGCACACCTATCCCTGAACTCATTCAACAGGACTTCTTGAAGCACTACCAGTCACAGAATCATGGGGTGGTTTTGGTAGGAACACAACTGCCCACAAGACAGTGGGTTGCCAGGCTTTCCTTCATATGGAAAAGGGCCATCAATTCATGGTCAGGCACTATAATCCAAAAATGGGATTCTGCCTCCTAAACTTGTGAATATCAGAGGATTCCTTCCAGATGAAATCTGCCAGGCTCTGGCTGGCCTTGGACTCCTCAGGGCTGTATCTCAACTGCCTCTGAGACAGTAGGTTGCAAGGCTTTCCTTCCTATGGAAAAGAGCTAACATTCACAGTCACACTCCGGGGGCTAAAAGTGGGATCCTGCCTCCTAAAATTGTGAACATTGGAGGATTGTTACAAGATGAAAGCTGCCAGGAGTTATGGCTCTGGCTGGCTTTGGGCTCCCGGGAGCTGCCTCTGAACTGCTCCTGAGACACTGAGTTGCTGGGTTAGGTGCAGTTGTAAGGGGTAACGGTTAGGGTAGTTAAAAATGGTAACTTTTCTTATATTTTATACATATATATATAAAATAATTTTTATAAAAATTGATTTCCAAATACAAGCCTTTATTTACTGTTTTATGTGCAGGATCTTGAGAGTATAAGGAATTCTAAATACAGATATATAGGGTTTTTGAAAATACAAATGTACCTTTTGTATATATATTTTAAACAAGAAAGGGCTTGAAAAATGGGAGAAAATATGATCTCTACGAGGGCAATAGAAATAGCTCTGCGTATTCAAACAAAAAGCATTTTTGTGTGTCACTCAAAGGCCGGGATCTTGGTTGGTACTTAAATCGCTGCTGCCACCTGGTGACAAGTACGAGGTACTGCGCATATATGCTATTTAATGACTCAGTAGTGTCACCTGCAGGTAAAAAGCGGTACTGCAACTAAGAAATGCACACACGGACCGCGAGTGACTTGTCGAAGTGTCACTGTGGCGCTTTCCGTGCCTGCCGTTGCCTCCTGCTGGCCCTGGAGCACGCGTGGTGCTGGGAGCACCAGGCCCAAGACCCAGCTGCAGCGGCAGTGGCTGAGGAAGGTTGTAGTGAGCCAAGTGAGGAGGGAGGGCTCTTGCCATGTGGTGTTGGGCTTTGGCTGCAGGAACTCGCATGACTTGAAGGGTTTGGAACACAAGCCCTGTGACGAACCACTGAGGGAGCTGGGGTTGTTTAGGCTGGAGGAAAGGAGACTCAGAGGTGACTTTATTACTCTCTACAATTACCTGTGTTATGAATGAGGTCCTATTTGTCCAATTCAAGAAACTACAAACTTAAAATTTAGCAGCAGTTTTAATTGAGGTCAGCAATTTTAATTAAGATGAAATAATACAATCAGATACAATTCAGTATTGAGATGAAATAATACAATCAGATATAATTCAATAGTTACAGAAATTTGGGAGTGGTTCGGAGAAAGCATAAACAAAACCGATTGGGGTACGGGAAGGGCTTCCCACCCCGCCTCATGTACGAAGGCAAAAGGATCCAAACACAACTTATATACTGTGTGCTAATACATATTCATTATTAGTTTCCCATAAATCTCCTCCTATTTTTGATTCTTGAAATCTGCGTCACTCTACTGCACAGTGCATGCTCCCATTGTTTCCAAGGGGTCTTCTGGCTCTTCGGTGGTCTTCTTGGAGGAAGGCTGATGTCTTCTTCACATGCCCTCTGGATAACCTGGCAGGTGGCGCATGCGCATTAAGCTTAGTATTATATAAGTAAGCACTCTGTTCCAATTAAACCTTATTTATTTCATTGATAAGACCACTATTTTAGACTCCTTGTCTGGAATTGTCCCAGCTTTATTAATATTCAAGGCCACTTTTTGCTCTGGAATTTGTCTTAACATCAGTTGATGCCAATTTTGGTTTGGGAGTTTTCCTCCTCAAGGCCGTTTCTGCTTTTGAATATTCTGCTTATTCCAACATGACATTCTATATCTGGTTTCTCACAAGAAACATCTGTAAGGGAGCCCTCCTGCTCTTTGATACTGATCACATGTACTTCTTATTATTATTTTCCCAAATTATTGATATAATTACAATTGTATTAGCACGAATCACACCCTTTTATCACACCTGGAAGGTGGTTGTAGTCGGGGGCGGGGGTAGTCTCTTTTTCCAGGCAACAACTGACAGAACAAGAGGACACATTCTTAAGCTGTGCCAAGGGAAACTTAGGTGGGATGTTAGGAAAAAGTTTTTTACTGAAAGACTGATAAAGAACTGAAATTGTCTGCCCAGGGAGGTGGTGGAGTCACCATCCCTGGATGTGTTTAAAAAAGAGTGGATGTGGCACTAAACCACATCCACTAAACCAGTGCCATGGTTTAGTTCAGGTGGTGTTAGGGCATGGGTTGGACTAGATGATTTAAAGGTCTCTTCCAACCTAGTGATTCTGTGATTCTGTGATGACAATGTGCTCAAGATGGTAGAGGAGCCAGGAATTGGCATCAGTCCATTCTCAAGATGGCAAGCATGACAGGAAGTCACATGCCATAACAGTCAAGATGGTGGATCCAGAACAAACTCGTAGTGCTACTTTCAGGATGGGTAGGATTTACCAGAACTTGCATCACACCACACCCAAGATGGCAGTAATGGCCAGAAGTCACTACAGGTACACTCAAGATGGTGGCATGGGCATGTGAGTCAAGATTGCCGAGCTGCTGTCTGAGTTTTTCTCTACTCCCCCGAGCAGGGGAGGAGTCCGCACCGGCTGAGCTGTGGCACAGCAGTTGACAGCTGGGGGGCACTGCCCAGATGTGCCGGGGGCGTCCGGGGAGCGCCTCGGCAGGAGGCAGCGGTGGGCAGCAGGAAGGCGAAGTAAGAAAAGAGGGACTCTTCTCGGGGGCAAAGTCCAGAAGTTTATTGTCTCCAGGAGATCCAGCTGAGAAAAGACGATGGCGTGGGAAAACAGCAGATTATAAAGGGGGCGGAACATAAAACACTTCAACCAATGAGGGAGAACTTGGGAGGGAACAAACTCGTGAGAAACATGCCGGCTAGCCAACAGGGAATGTGACAGGGAGGGACTCTTGTTCCCGATCCAATCACCCACTGAGGAGGGGAGAACTTTCTGGAAAGAGGGAAGGAGACAGTGGGTGATAGACAGGAACCCGGGGAGGGATTGACAGAGGGAAACAGGGGAGGAGACAACAAATTGACACTCTCAAAAGGAGGGGTTGCCAGGGGAGGAGGGGGAGGGGAACCCCAGGACCGAACCATTATAACTTCAGGGGGAAACAGGACAAACCAAATGAACCATGCACCATAACAAAGATGTCCTTCCCAAGATGGTGGCAGGCTAAAAATGAACTTTGGGAAAGAATGCAAAATTGCATTTTGGGAAGACATCTCTTTTCAGAATGGGGTTTTCCAGCATGCTTGAGCACAACCTACACCTTGGCCTCCAGCTTGCAGTGCAGTGCTTCCTGGTGTGAGGACAAGGGTGGTGGGACAGTGGTGATGGAGAAGGGCAGAGGGTTAGGGTAAGGGGTTAGGGGTAGGGGTTAGAGTTTGCAGTTGCCACTTGGTTCCCAGAGATTGCATTGTGTCACTGTGGTCTCCTGGGTGCCATGAGGTATTCCCGTGTTGCAATGGACACTTGCTTCCATCATATTCCTTTACAACACAGCGGCCTTCTAGGTGCCCTGAGGGCATGCTTTGAAAAATGGAGCCTTGTTCCTACTAGGCCTGGCAATGTCCCAGGGACACCTGTTGCCCATGATGTCCCACTTAATCAAAGTAGATCCTTGAGATTCCATTGCATCATAATGATCTTCTGACTTCCATGAGTCTGTGCTGTGTTACAATGGACACCTAGTCCCACATAAGTGGAACCTGTGTTCCATAAAGCCCCGTGTTGTTCAAAATTTCAATTTTTTCCCCCAAGACTCGATTACATCACAGTGATCTCCTGGGTTCCATGAGTCCCTGCTGTGAAAGAGTTGGTACTTGTTTCTATGAGATTTCATAGTCTAACAATGTTCTTCTGTGTTCCATTAGGCCTGACTGTGTCACAATGGACACTTGCACAAACCTTGGAAACTTCACATTGGCACCTGGGATCCATGAGGCCCTGCTGTGCTGACAACTTTTTGTTCCATGAGACTCTGTTGCCTCACAGTGGTTACCTTGGTTCCATGATAGCCCTCTGTGTCACAATGGAGCCTTGGTGTCTTGAGATTTTCTTTCATCACAGTGGTCTCCTATGTTCCATTAGGCCTGTCTGTGTCGTAAAGGACACTTGTGTCCATGGGCAATGGGGATATCCCAGTGGCACCTGTGTTCCATGAGGCCCTGCCATGTTTGCAGTTGACTGCATTCCCCAAGATTGCATGGCATCACAGTGGTCTCCTGTGTGCCATGAGGTCGTTTAGCTTTGCCATGAAAATTTACTTCTATCATATGCCATTGCGACACAGCAGCCACCCAGATGCCACGAGGCCTTTTTGTGCAATAATAGAACCTTGTTTCTATTAGGCCTTGCAGTGTCCCAGTGTCACCTGTGTGCCATGAGTACCATCTTGCTCAAAGCAGAGCCGTGGTTCCTTTATATTCCAGTGCATCACAGTGGTCTCCTGGCTTCCATAAGGTCTGACAGTGTTCACAATTAATACTTGCCTCCTGAAGATTCGATGGTGTCACTGTGCACCATGAGGCTGTGCTGTGTCACAATAGACACTGACAAGATCCAATAGCACCTCGCTTCAAGGATGTGCTATTTGTGTTTGCAGTTGCTGCTTGGTTCGCAGATGTTGCACTGTGTCACATTTGTCTCC